GTGCTGTGTATTCTTCTAAATGTTATAAATACACAGAGATTAACCCAATGGTCACAAAGCTTAATGTTAAACGTAGGTATTAATATTATGATTTACTTCCATCTTTCTTCGTCTTTTTAAACCTTTCCCGGACTTTAAAATCACATACACCCAACGGGGGGCAGTCGGTTTATCATCTCAGGTGGTCTCAGGACCCTCGTATGGTTTTTCCCAGTCAGGATATGGGATCGGTCAAATCATACTCAAGAATTGATTGTTCCAGAGTTATAGCTGAATACACTGCAGTTCTTTCTGCTGTGTCATCAGGGTCCCCCGGCCTCTTCGTTGGAATTTCGTTTCACCACATAGTAAACGCAAATTCTGTGGGTTTCTTTCAAGTTCCAATCTTAATCAGTTTTCGTAACCGCTTTCGACATTTATTGCCCGATTTGGGTCAGTGGACTTTTGTACCCCATCCCAGGTTGTACCTAATTTCCTTTGCCACTTGATTAGATTCGGCTAATGTCCTTACTGCCTGAGTGAATTCTGCATGCTTTCCACATTTTTCCCGTCTGACTCTCAGCCTCATGTCTGGAGTCACTTTACAAACAAATTGCAGTTCCCCATCAGTTAGCCTGAGTTCACCAGATGACAAGACCTACGCAAACTGGTTTTGAGCAAAAGAAAGGAACTGATTACTTCTCACTGTAGGGTCTCCCAGGGGTGCTTCTGGCTTTAGGAATGGGGGGATACAGGAGCTGGATTGATGGCAAAGGCACACTTCCATCCCTCTCCACTCCGCTTCCCTGGGTGCTAGCTTTCTTCTCAGGCAGGTGAGGAGGAGGCAGCCCTGGGCAGCACTAGGCTTCCTTTATACTTGTCTTCCTTTTTGCATTTTTTGGTGCTTCGTTCTTCTCAGGGTGTCTGTGTGTCATACAGGTTTGGGGAGTGCTGCTTTAGGAAAAGTTACAGACATCTTTACTGGACTTCACAGCTGTTAAGATGTTTACCTACAATGTGAATGTCCAAAAGAAGGGTAGAAGAGGCAACTTTGGGGCAACATTGTCATCACGGAGCATCTTGTGGAACTACATTTCCTTAGAATACCTCTTGAAACTCACTGACCTAATCTTGGGGGCTCACAACTATTTGTACCCCGAATTTTGGGGAAAGGATAAGTTGGAACTAAGTGATTTTACATTAAGATAAACTTGTTGGGTGCAGTGGCTCATGCCTGTAATGCCAGCACTTGGGAGGCCAAGGCAGGAGGATCACTTGAGGCCAGGAGTCGAAGACCAGCCTGAGCAACATAGTGAGGCCCCTTTCTCTACAAAAAGTACAAAAATTAGCCAGGTGCAGTATCATGTGCCTATAGTCCCAGCTACTCAGGAGGCTGAGGCAGGAGGATCGCTTGAGCCCAGGAATGTGAGGTTGCAGGGAGCTATTATGATGCCACTGCACTCTAGCCCAAGAAACAGAGTGAGACCTTGTCTAACAACAACAACAAAAAGATAAACTTTCCAGCATCCAGAAGTGAAGGAGACTTGGCTGGTTTCCCAGGTGCGGGGACAGCTTCAGTTTCTGGCACACAGACAGCTCTGGGGAACATTGAGGCCACTCTTGCTCAGCACGCGCCTCCCTTGATGTCACTGCCCTTCATCCTCAGCATCAGTTCCCCTCTTCAGGGCTGGCTCCGTTACAAGGACTTCCTGTAAACTCAAGGTGAGCGCCCAGTGCTGTGGGTACTGATGTGGGAAGAATCCCGTGTGCATCGGGGCCACAAGCCCCTCTGGAATATCATCTTGGTGTTGAAAGGCCGCAGGGGAAAAACAGGTACAATTTCAAAGCACAAAATCTGGGGCTTGAATTCATGGACATCTGTTACAATTTCCTTCCCTCCTCCCCACCAGCCATGGACACACTCCCATCAGTCCCCTTTGTTCTTCATCGGATTATAAGAAACATTAGATACGTTAAATGCCTAACCCTAAAAAACAGATGCAGTAAAAGACTCCTGGGATTTTCTTTTACCATGAGAGCAAATTTGAGTCCTTTGCATCTGTGATGTCATGCTTTTCTCAACAGATCCTCCCGTGGTTGCCAGCCTAAGTGAAACTGAGGCACAGAGCCGTGACCTGTCAAAGGATCAAGTGCAGAGGGGGCTGGGCTTACAGCCCACTGCCGGTGGCAAGTTTGCGTCAGAAACTTGCCTGTCTCTCCTGTGCATGTGAATTCAGCCAGGAGGTATTTAATGAGCACAGACTGTGTTTCTGTAGATGGAGGGGACGTGGCCCAGCAAATGAGCTTGATGTTGCTACAGCATTGCCCTGACTCTTCTCACAGCCTCAGTTAACTCACTCTGAAACAAGGGTAATAGCTACCCATAGGAGTGAATTTGAGCATTGGTCGAGAGTATGTGCAAATGTCAAATAGCTGGCATGTGGCACGTGCTCAGGGAATGGCCCTTGTTGTGGAAGGCAGCACGATACAGACTTAGAAGGAGCACGTGTTCTGAAATTGGACAATGTTGCTTTATAAACCCAGTTCCCACACAGACTGAACAGCATTGGTCAGGGTTCCTATTCTTTCAGCCTTGATTTCTTCATTTGTAAAGTGGGCAGGATAATACCTGCCTTGCAGATATGGTATGAGGACTGGAGAAATATAGAATGGTATATTTAAAGTACCTGGCACGATGCTCGATTCATGGTGAGCACTTTGTTATTATCACTAATAGGCCCCTGCATGTATTTGGAAGATAGGACAGACCTTCACACAGGGAACAACTAGAACACTGCGTATAGAAGCAAATACAAGTATGCCACCATGTAGGAATTTAGAGTAGGGGACCACTGGGTGGTCTGGGGCATTTGGAGAAGGCCTTAAAGGGAGACTGTGGGGAAGGACGGAGGGAGGGCCAAAGAAGTAGAATTACGTGAGTGAAGTTCGCAGAGGTTTTGGAGCTGCAGGACCCTCTGGACTCTTGTGGATTCATCCATAATAAACTCCTGTTGAACCCTCACTTCCTGCCATACCCTCCTTGCTTGGGAACCATCCTAACGTATTTCCCCTGCATTTCTGCAGGATCCTCCAGGTTGGCTTTTGGAAGCCAAATGAAAGTGTTGAAGGGAAAGGTGCTGAAAGCAGGTTTTCAGTAAGCCTTTGTCTTCCTGCCTGATCAGCAGAGCTCAGGATGTAGAGGCAGGTATCTCACAAGCTGGTGGAATGAACTAGAGCTTCTTGGAGGTTATCTGTGTGGTGGGGGTGGCGGGGGCGGGGGGCGGTGCTGTTGGCTTTTGCAATCTCAACCACCCAGCATTTCTCAGGCCTCATGCTGCCCCTCTGCAGTGGTTTCGGATGCTGCGGAAGGCTTAGCGGTAGCATAATGTGATTAAGTCAGTGCTTTGTTGTCAGTCCTGCCAGCCCCGGCTGTGTGGCCTTGAACCAGGGGGCCTGGCTCCCTCCTGGGGAAGAGGGCCGTGTCACATCTGCTGTGTTCCGAGAATTGACGTAATGGAAAGCCGTCTGGTATCACGGTAAAGAGGGTGGCTCTGGAGTCAACAGCTAGATCCAGATCCGCTCCACCTCTCTCGAGCGATCTCACCTTTCTCAGCCTCCGTTTCTCCTCATGCACAATGGAAAGACAAAAGTACTAACCCTTTTCCACTAGGTCAACTAGAGCAGTGTCACGTTGATGCTGAAGCTTACTTTATGGTCCACTCGACTTTGCCCTCTCATGAGCTTCAGTCAGCGGGTATTGCTTGAGCACCTGCTGCATACCTGCCACCCTGCAGCCAAACCAAGGAGCAAATGCAACGGGCCGGCATGACAGGCTCGATGGGCAGGGTGTCACCTTTCTGAGGAGGTGGCACTTCAGCTGAGATCGGAAAGAGAAAGAGGCAGGGATAAATGTCCAGGAAGAGAGATAACCAACATAAAGCCCTGGAGGCAAGAACAGTCTTGGCTCAGAAGAGCTGAAGTCCCTGTGATCAGAAGCAGTTTGATGGTGAGGGGGCTACAAGGCAGGACTGGGGAGGCAGGCAGACCAGAGACCCTCAAGGGCCAAAGTAGGGAGTTTGGACTCTCAGAACCTGAGAAGCAACTCAAGGATCTTAAGTGGTAGGGTGGCAGGATCTGATTTACATCTCAGAAAGATCCTTCTGGCTGCCATGGGGAGGATGGATCATTAGGGAGAAAGGTGGGCTGCAGAGACCAGCTGGTCTTTCTGCAGTAGCCCAGGCAGAGGGGACAGCACTGTCAGCTGCAGGTGGGGGTGGGTGGGAGAGCTGTGCACATTTGGATATATTTTGCAAGCAGAGGTGATGGGACTGGCAGCTGGATTAAATGTGGTGGTGGTGTTGGCAGGTATGGAGATGGTAAGCAGGAAAAAAGAATGGGGAATCATTGCAGGGAGATTGGGCTTGAGCAGCTTGGGACTGACCTCCATTGGTTTGGGGGTTGGGAAATGGAGAACTCTATTTTAGGTGTTTTCTGGAGTATTATCAGAGTTAGAGCAACTAATAGAGTTGACACATTTCTGCTGACTGTTGCCACTTGCCTTCCCTCAGCATTTCATTCCTTCAGTGGAGTCCGGAGAAGTCATATAGCAGCTCTTCTGTCACTCTGACCCCTGGGGAGGGGCCGCTGTGGGCTCTTTCCCTGCACACTCTCAGCTCTGGCCCCAAACTCACTGCTCCTGCTCTGCTGCTAGGCTTTTATCAAGTTCCCAAGATGAAGCTGAGGACAGGGTAGGACACAGGGAGTGTTTGCAGCTACCTCTGCTGGTGGAAGCACCCACAGTTTGTGGAAGGTACCTGTCAGCCACTTCACCCGGCTGTCCATCCCAAGCAGCAAGGCCGGACGGTGCCCTCAGATGAGTCACATCTGAGGCAAAAGAACCTTATGTGGGGCTTGGTGACACAGGCCGGGTCCTTTCGGGAATGGTGCACATTCGTCTGTGTCTTCAGCCTGAGCAGGAGCGGCATGAGGTTTTGGTGCTCAGAATGTGTTTGTCTTGACAGCTGGGATGACAGCAGCTCCGTTAGCAGCGGCATCAGCGACACCATAGACAACCTCAGCACTGATGACATCAACACCAGCTCCTCCATCAGCTCCTACGCCAACACACCTGCCTCCTCCCGCAAAAACCTGGACGCGCAGGTAAGGAACACAGGGCCCCGGGCTCCTCAGTGGCCCCTGCTCACAGGGAGCCTTGGGCTCGTGGGGTGAGCAGGATCCCCAGGGTGGTAAGAGGAGGCCCAGCCTCCTGCTGCCTGCGCACTCATCTCCTGGCCCGACCTCTGCCGACGAGGAAGGGGTCAGGCAGGGGGCAGCGGAAACGGGAGTAGGGAGGCCTGGCCACCCTCACCGTGTGGCCGTGGTGGACTCACATTTCCTCACTGGACCTCAGTCTCATAATCCGTTTAAACAAACAAACAAACAGAAAGGGATGTTGGACTTTGGCAGTTCTCAGCCTAGAGTGTGTGTCCCTGCCTTGCCGCAGTAAGGCACTGCTGTCCGGGGACGCGTGTCTAATCCCTCAAGACGGATGGAGAGGGACAAAGCTGAACAGCCCTGGCGTGCAAGACCAGCGTGTGCTGACCTGAGGTTGGGAACTGTTGGTCACATCCCCCTGCCGATGTGTTCTTTTTGGCCCACAATATCAACCTTCCATTAAACTGGATTCCATGTCAGATTTTAAAAATTGCATCATTTCGCATGAAGGGATATTTCTGATTTCTCTTGAAAAATCAGAAATGCTGCTTCTCACCCTACATTCTCCACAGGGCAACAATCAGCAGACACCCCAGTGCCAGCCCCCTTTAGAGCCATGGCTCCTGTTCCAGTGTGCACAGCTGCTACCTACCGGCCAGCTGCACTCCTTCAAGTGCAGCCTGGCCCGGAGGCACTCGAGCTTTGAGCCCCTGCTTTAAGCTCTCAGGTTTTATGTCTCAAATCCAGTGGGTTTCCTGTGGGCCCATGCACTGGCCCATTCTGTAGTGGGTGGCAGGGGGTGGTTCTAGTAAGCCCATTTTACTAGTGGAAAAGTGAAGTGCCATCCATCCTCACAGCTTGTCCCCATTTGGGACTGGCCAGCCGTGGTGGCGCTGGCATAGTGGGCTGGAATCTTTTCCATGATTGGCCCCTCCCACCAGTGGGGGCCACCGTCTTGGGTGAACCCTTGGGAAAATCTGATCGGGACAAAGCCTCCCAGAGTGACCTCGGGGAGGGCAGAACTAACGCTGCCTCTTCTTTCACTCCCTTCCTCCCATATCCTCCTCCTGCCCCAGCTGGTTTTCGCTCTATACAGATAGGAGCTTCTTTGGAAATGGCTTTGCTTTCAAAATCTTCTCTTATCTGAAGATAGGGCTAAAGAAAGGATGTGTTAGACTGTGGGAGCAATTCTGTCCCACAGAAAGGGAAACATTGCCTGCCTGATGAAATATATTAGGTGTTGCCTCTGGGACTGCCAGTCACTTCTTGGGTTCTCATTTTAGCCAGACTTTCTAATTACTGTTCAGGAGTGAGAGTGGATTTGTTTAAAAAAAAATACTACCCAAATGACTGGAAGGGGGTCATATTGGGGGTGCTGGTAATGTTTTATGTCTTCATCTGAGTGGTAGTTATGTATGTTAATTTTATAAAATTTATTCAAGCTATGTACTTAGATTGTTTATTTTACTACATAAAAAACAAAACCTAGGCCACATTGCCCAAGAGTGATCACTGTTTAATTGGTGATTAGACACAAGTTAGAAACACCCGGCCAGCCTGTGTTCCTGCCATCTACCATATGCCAAATGTCACAGTACCCACCAGTTTTCCTTTCCTTGTGGACACTAGTGTATTCCCAAAGATTGGTTTTATATTCAAGCTAACAACCACCAAACTTCTACACTGTCCTTAGATACTAAGGAATTGACGATCTGGGTCTATGTATCCAGGAGGCATGCGGGTTATTTAGAGGTACTGTTGAGAGAGAGAGGTATCAGTGAATCAGTGAGATTTCTCTTGTTTGCTTGCAAGGTAGGGGGGCTTGCCCAAAGACGCAGGTCGAACACTCTGTTGGAAGAATCTCTCTGTTCCACATTGCTACAGGGTAAACATCTGGGATTTGCAAATGATTGTTTGGACCAGCTCTTTGCCTTCATCTTGCAAATGTCAAGTCAGAAAAGGTTCAAGAATTCTACATAAACATTTCTTTTAATCAAGATCAGAAGTTATTTCAAGGGATATAAACGTTTTACTGTTCATTGTGTAGTTTTTGCCTGAGTATTTAAAACTACCTGAGTTTAAAAACAAAAACAAAAAGAAGAGATCTTGGAGTAAAATAAATGCGGACTGTGCCAATAGTTACTAAGATTTCTGTTGCAGTGGTTTCTTTAAATGGATTTTTAGTGACATTCCCTTTGTTCCTGTCCAGGGAGCATCTCAAAATATTTGAATCAGCATAATTCGCAGCTCCCACCCTCTTCCCCATCTCATTCTGTGGGATGCCAAGGGCCATTACTCCTCTCTGAGCAGCATCACTCAATGGGAAGATGTGCGTTGCACCCTTTCCAAGAGCTGTGCCTCCTGTGCTGCGGCTCTTGTCACACACTGGTTTACCCTGGGACAAGGGGCAGCACACAGTCTGCAGGGCAGGGCGTAGGGAGGCGGGAGGAGGTGGCTCAGCGTGTCTGTCCCACAAGCAAGTTGAGGACAGGTTGCTCGCCTAGGTTTTCCTATTCAAAAGCCTCTGAAGAAGGGCCGAAGGAAGTGCATCTAAGGAACAGGGAAGTTATTGTGTGGAAACTGAAGGAGCAGCCTGTGCAGCCGATTGAAAGAGGAGGAGGCGGATCTTTGGGAATGGAGGTTCCCTTTGTCTGTGAGGGACTCCGTGTTCCTCGGGGACACTGAGGAGCACTGAAGGGTGCCCTCCGCAGGGCATACGTGCCCAGCCGTCCAGCGACCCTGTGCTTGCTGCTTCTCTGTGTGCTGGGAAGAGAATCCCCTGCTTGGGGCCAGAGAGCCTCCCCACCAACTTCCTCCAGGAGAGCTGGTGAGTCCGGTTGGGCAGCCAAACCAGATTGCGGTGTCGGTGTCGGGAGAAGGTGTGACTTTGAAGTCAGGTGGTCTTGGTGACCTCCTTGGATGGATAAGCTAAACAACCTCACCAAGGCTCTGCCTCCCCATCTGTAACAACACGGCAGTTCTACCTGCCTAAGGGTGAGTGTGAAAATGACTTGGAAATACTTTATCTGAACGTGCCCCAGTGCCTGACATTTGAGAGTTGCTCAGAAGTTACTTTCCTCCCTCCCTCCTGATAACCTGTCCCTCTGCCTCCTCCTCCATTCGTGTCAGTAACTAAAAGTTGACTGCTCTTAATATATTTTGCTTGTAGTTTCAAAGCAAATCGTCTTCTACTTGCAGTGTTTTATTTTAGGGACAGTGTGTTGGTAACACACACGACTCCCCGCATGCTCCTCTGTCCACTCGTGTCCCTGACCAGTATTTTCTCTCGGTTCCATGGAAGGCACCATTTCTAGCACTCAGGTGTAAAGATGCACACCTCAGAGTTTCCTTTCATTTTCAACGCCTGTGACATTTTTCATAAAATATGCAGGGGAAAAAGGATAATTCAATGTCAGTTTATTTTTTATGACTTGGGGAAGTAAAATTCTGAATGGCATGGCAAGGATTCCTTCCCACGTGGCCTTGGCTGACCCTAGAGTTCTCTTGCTGTCCTTTGGGTGTTGGTGTAGAGGGTAGAGATGGAGTTTGGCTCGGGGTGGGGAGGGTGTGTCCTTTGCTCACCTACGGGGAGCTGCTGCTTCTGACTTTGGGCAAGTCATTTTTCCTCTTCAAACCTGTATTTTTCTGGTGTGTAAAGTATGGAAAATAATCCAGCTTCAGAGGATGTGATGAGCTAAGGATGTGTGCAGAGGGACACAGTGCCTGGCAGGATGAGTGGCAGGTGGTGGTACCAGTTACCATTTCTGCAGTTACCGGGGCTCAGACTTCCGCCAGCTCGGCATCTAGGTCCACAGGGGACACGACCTGAGGAAGGGAGGATCCCTGCCTGCCAGAGGCACGGTGGCCCAGGAGCAGCAAAGACAAGTATCCCATTTACCCTCATGTAAGACAATGGTGGGGAAATGCTAGAGATAGACAACAGAGTGCTGGGAGTTTTGAGAGGCGAAAAAGTCTGAGAAAAACAGCCACCATCTACGGAGTCCCTCCATGTTCTGTTCATCAAGCCCACCATCAAACCTCTAAGAGGCCTGGTTATTGTCGTCCCCATTTTTTACACAAGGTAGTAAATGAGTGGCAGCACCCAGCACTTGAAGCTAGATCCGTCAGACCCAAAGCCCATGCCGTCCCCCACATCGTACCAAGCTTCCTGCTCCGTAGGCCTCGCCTTGGTTCCACTCTCTCACTCTCAGAAGATGGGTCTCCCCTGAGATCCCTTATGCATGGCTTACTTCCCCTCCTTCCAAGTAGGGGCAATAAGAAAATCCTTCAGAAAGACAGTGCCACAGAGATGGGAGCAACTGGCAGAGGTGTCAGAGGAAGGGAGGATGGAACTCTGTGTGTGTCCCCACGTGGACATCTTGCTGGCTGGCCCCGCTATTGCGAGGTCTGTGAACAGGGAGGATGAGTAAGTCCCAGCTTTATTCTTTTGTTAATCCCAAGAGGTGCCCCCACATGGTCCAGCAGCTCAGGAAGGATCTGCTAAGGAGATGTGAACTCAGAGCCCATAGAGTGTCCCAGGGCAAATGCCCAGTGGTTCAGAGTAGAGCTGGGAAACTGCCACTCTGGACCAAGTTAGGAGGGGCATGATGGTTGGATGATGATTTTTTCCAGAGGGAGAGAATCAAGCCGTGGTCCTGGGCCAGGAACATGCACACTCTCTCTGCCGTTGATGGAATTGGGGTTCTATGGTTCCCACCCACAGGCTGGGCTAGATCTGCTCTGGGATTGGGGCTGGCAAGTGGCCAGCCGGCCTGCCAGCATGGAAGGAGAATCTATTGGGTGTGCAAAAATGTTTCATCTCCTTGGACTTGTCCTCAAGGAAGGCAACATGGCACAGTGGTTAACATGTGGGCTCTGCTTTTAGACTCCCTGGAGTCCCTGTATCTCTTCTTCCTCACTGTGTGATCTTGGGCAATTTTCTTCTCCACCCTGTGCCTCGCTTTTCTCATATAAAATTGAAAACGTTTACTGTAACTTCCTCATAGGTTTTTTTTTTTTTTTTTTTTTTTTTGAGACAGTCTCACTCTTTTTGCCCGCCTGGGCTAGAGTGCTGTGGCGTCAGCCTAGCTCACAGCAACCTCAAACTCCTGGGCTCAAGCAATCCTACTGCCTCAGCCTCCCGAGTAGCTGGGACTACAGGCATGCGCCACCATGCCCAGCTAATTTTTTCTATATATTTTTAGCTGTCCAATTAATTTCTTTCTATTTTTGGTAGAGATGGGGTCTCGCTCTTGCTAAGGCTGGTCTCGAACTCCTGAGCTCAAGTGATCCGCCTGCCTCAGCCTCCCAGAGTGCTAGGATTACAGGCGTGAGCCACCGCACCCGGCCCCTCATAGGTTTTTGGTAAGAATTAAATTCAACAATATATGCCATTAGCTTAGCGCCTGGCACATGGTAAGCGCTCAATAAATTTTACTTGTTACGCTACTATTATTGGCACCATTACAATTTGATTGGGGGAATAGGTATAGGAACATTAAAAGACTAAATAATACAGTAATCCAGGGTGTGGTATGTGCTAAATTTTCAGTACCTCTTAGAATATATTATTAATAGAATGTACTTGAACGTAAGCTCCATAAGGGTAACAGTTTGCATTTGTTCACTGCAGTATTTCCAGTGCAAATAAGCTTGCCTGGCACATAGTGGCACCCAATAAATATTTGGTGAGTGAATGCTTCCAAAGCCAAGTTCTTTGCAGCCTCAGGGCCTTTGCATATGTGGTTCCCTCTACCTGGCATGATCTTTCCTAAGTGTAGCTTCTCATTCTTTAGGGTACTTCTTCACAAAGGCCTTACCTGACCACCGCCCTCACCCCCATCATCACAGTGTGAAGTACATCAAAGCCTGTATTTCTCTCTGACTCCTTGTCCTTTTCTTTATAATAATCTTTGTAATTCACAAGTACACCTTTATTGACTTGGCCTCACTCCCTGAACCGTAAACTCCATGCAGGGTGGGGACTGGTCTGACCCCCAGGTTCTCTGACTCTCTGTGGCACCTGGGGGACAGTGGGCATTGCCTAAGTTCTGGTTCTGGGCCGGGGTGGCTGGCACAGGGAGTGGGTAACTTGAGTTTCTGCTCATCTGCACAACTGTGATAAAGACAGTCCTGCTTACCTGCTTGCCCCTCTTGACCAGATCGTGGCAGGGACCAGATGAAATCATCCTGTTGAAGTATGTTGTGGCCGGAAAAGCAGTGCTCATCATTCAGCCACTCACTCACCAAGCTCTGACTGCTCCTGCTCTGCCCACACGTGGGAACTCCCCTCTCGGTGTCCCGGGGCCACCGAGGAAGGATGAGCTGCTCACAGTCGGGGAGTGTGCTTTTGTACTCATATCTCTAGTACCTAGCTGGAGAAAACAAATGCAAGAACCGTGAGGCAGCTATAATGGATGAGTGGAATTCGTAAGGAGGAGAGGGGGTTGGGGAAGAGACAGAGGCAATTAAACTCGGCTGCTTGTCTGTTTTTACATTTTTTCCCATCGGCCATTGTATTCCACGGAGGAGGGTGTTTGTACCACTCTTGGATGACAGGCATCAGGCCAGATTCTCGCCAGGTGTTCATTTTAATGTCCCACATTGCTGACGTTGCCCACTCTCGGTGGTTAAATACGGCAAACGTGGGACTCTATCTTAGTGCAACCACCCGGAAAGTGCTGCTGACCTGCCTTCCCCGTTCACTGTGCTGCTTCTCCCCGCTGGTATCCCCACACTGGCCTCCAACCCCAGGAGGCCTCCAAAGCCTTCTGGTCAGCTTTGTGCCTTTGAGCTGCAGGAGATCATTAACGTCACACTTCTTTCCCCTCCCGGGTTCCATGGCCAGCAGGTCAGGGCTCTTGCAAAGAAAGCTGGCTAATTATATCCCTTGTCTGAACAGAATCCCACAAGGAGAGCAGAACAGGGGCATATAAATGCTGCTGGGGTGGGGGCCAGCACTGTTGGCGCTTAGCATTCGCGGGAAGTGCCACTGGAGGGTTTGCTTCCTCGGCTCCTGGCTCCCCCTGGCTCCGTGGAACCAGCAGCCACCCTCACTTGCTGGCTCCCTCGCGTGGCGTGTCAGATCTAAAGATCTCGCTGGCAGTGGAGTGATGGGAAGAAGGCAGAACAAAGGGAGACGGGCCAGGAGGCTGGATGCTGGTTAGAGACCCAGTGGCGGGAGTTGGAGGAGGCTTGTCTCCAAGTGGCAGAGAGTTGGCAGCCAAATTCCCCCGGGTCTCCATCTGTCGGTTCTCCCCCCTGGGGCTCTCCGTCTTTTTCCCCGGGAACCTTCTACTCTCATCCCTCACTCCCTTCTAAGGATACATTTATATTATTTACTTTTTTACACCCCCCCCGCCCCAAATCAGGCTTCCTAATTAGATAACCAAAATACTAAAGTCCAGACACTTTTAAAGTAATTATTATTTTTCCCTCAACAAGTCCAGTGTATTGGCATTTTCACCTTTGGAGTGAGGGGCTCCCGAGCCTGGGATGTGGGGAGGACTAATTCGGAGAGTCTCTGTCCACAGACCGACGCTGAGAAGCACTCGCAGGTGGAGAGGACTCCCCTGTGGTCTGGTGACGATGTCAAGAAATCAGACGGAGGGTCAGACAGCGGCGTAAAGATGGAGCCAGGTTCCAAGTGGAGGCGGAATCCTTCTGACGTGTCCGATGAGTCCGACAAAAGCACGTCGGGCAAGAAGAATCCCGTCATCTCCCAGACGGGCTCGTGGCGGCGAGGCATGACAGCTCAGGTGGGCATCACCATGCCGAGGACGAAGCCGTCCGCCCCAGCAGGCGCACTGAAGACCCCGGGAACGGGTGAGTGAAAGGCTAGTGCTGTCTTGCCTCCGCAGTTGTCAGTTTGAAAACCAAAACCACAGACCCTCTAGCAAGGACTTGATGTTATTTATTTCTTCTTAGGATTTATACTCTGCTACCAACCAGCTTTCATGAAGGTTCACATCCCTGCCTTTTTCTAAGTGGAAATATGTAAGCATGTGAACCTCTTCAACTCTGAGGATGGCTCAGCTGCTGGGGCATATTGAATCGGTTTAAGTGTATACTGGGGAAGAGTTAACACACCCAGTGCAGGCTATTCAAGGGCTTGGGTTTACAAGCTGTCAGTATGTGGAGTTGATGTCATCCATGATTCAGAAAATGTGTATAAACAGGGCAGGGGTGCCCCCTGGACACATTAGGGACAGCTTTTTAATGGACAGAGGATGAAAGGTTAGTAAAAAGCAGGATCTTTTTTTTTTCCCCCAGACATATCAATGATTGACTGGCTTCGCTTCATCCTGGGTAAATTTAGACTGCTTCGCAAATGAGTAAAATCATTGACATTTCCTAAAAGGCTCACAGTGACAGTGGTAGACTGTATTATCTTTATAAAGAGCTCTTTCCTTTGCCTCCCCAAGGAAAAAGGGAGCCAGCTCTTCAGAGGAGAGAAGCATCTTAAATAGACGCGATGGATGAGCTGGGCTCTCGGTTTGCAGGCTAATCTTTCTGATCTCTCTCTTAGGAAAAACAGACGATGCAAAGGTGTCTGAGAAAGGAAGGCTTTCTCCCAAAGCCTCTCAGGTGAAGCGCTCCCCATCAGATGCAGGCCGCAGCAGTGGCGATGAATCCAAAAAGCCCCTCCCTGGCAGTTCGAGGACACCCACTGCCAATGCCAACAGCTTTGGGTTCAAGAAGCAGAGTGGCTCAGCTGCTGGTCTGGCCATGATCACAGCCAGCGGGGCCACTGTCACCAGCAGGTCAGCCACGCTGGGCAAAATCCCAAAGTCATCTGCACTCGTCGGTAGGTCTGCTGGTCGGAAGTCAAGCATGGATGGGGTTCAGAATCAGGACGACGGGTATCTGTCTCTCAGCTCCCGGACAAACCTGCAGTACCGGAGTTTGCCGAGGCCCAGTAAGTCCAACAGCCGGAATGGGGCTGGGAACAGGTCTAGTACCAGCAGCATAGATTCCAACATCAGCAGCAAGTCAGCAGGCCTGCCGGTGCCTAAGCTGAGGGAGCCTTCCAAGACAGCCCTGGGCAGCTCTCTGCCAGGTCTGGTCAACCAGACAGATAAGGAGAAAGGCATCTCATCGGACAACGAGAGTGTCGCTTCCTGTAACTCAGTGAAAGTGAACCCTGCAGCCCAGCCTGTGTCCAGCCCGGCTCAGGCCACTCTCCAGCCTGGGGCCAAGTACCCAGATGTGGCCTCTCCCACGCTCCGCAGGTAAGTGGGTACACAAATGGTACCGAGCAGAACTGGAACACAGGGAATGGCACCCTGGATTAATAATGTCCACTTTTTAATTAAAGCAGCCTCTGTTTTTCTCCACTTTAGTCCTCAGGAAAGCTGTTTGGTCAAATCCTGCCAGCAATGTTGCAGTTGACCGATTGTTTCCCATACTGGGATGAAAACCACGAGCCTCTGGGATCAGTCATCCTGGGTCCATTTTAATTAGCTGCCACATAATCTTTCTGAACAATTCTGCCTCAGTTTCCTCATCTGTAAAATGAGGATGATACTTTTCTCCTGGCTTTTGTAAAGATTTTGTAGGCATTTCTGGCCATAGTAAGCACTCAGTTGAAGTTAGCTACCATTCACGATGAGGTCTTCATAGACTCTTAGACCTGGGTGCGAAGCTCAAGAGAGGGAGATCTTTTTTTTTCCTTGTCTTGGTAATTCAGTGGCTGAGCTTCCTCATTATGGCAGGCAGCTATCTTGGCCAGATCTTTTTCTCATACAGCCCTAGCCCAATGTCCCCACATACTT